GCGATTGGGCGGCGGGCGGGAGGCGGGCGCGCGCGGGTTGGCGGAGCGGCGGGGCCGGGCCCGGGATTGGGGCCCGCGGCGCTGCCGGGGTCAGCCATGGAGGCAAAGGGCGGCGGGAAGCGGGAGCCGCTCCCGGCCTGCGCCCCCTACGGGGCAGCGGCGGCGCTGCCTRCCCGCCCCGCGGGGTCCCTGTCCGTGCCGGCCTCTCCGGGGGCCACCGAGGGGCGGCTCCGGTCAGGAGAACCCGGCCTTGGCGGCGGCACCGGCGCCCTTCGCGACAGGGCTGCGTGAGGGCGGGCCGCTGCCCGCGGGCTCGCCGCTGCCGCCCGCCCCGAGATGGGCGGTGCGCGCCGGCTCGCCGCGGGGGCGTGGGCTCGGGGTTAGCCCTGAATGCCCCGTCCGTGGGGAGGGAACTGCCGGCCMCGGGAGGGGACGGGGAAAAAACTCTGATGTTGGTTAATCACAGTCATAGAATGGTTTGGGTTCAAACGGGCCCTAAAGATCATGTCGTTCCAACATCKCCGCCGTGGGCAGGAACGTCTTTCACTAGACCAGGTCGCTCMGAGCCCCGTCCAGCCCAAACACTTCCAGTCATGGGTCTTCCACAGCTTCGCTGGGTAAACTCCCACTGCCTCATCACCCTCACAGTAATGCATTTCTTCTGTACATCTAACCTAAATTTCGCCTCTTTCAGTTTGTACCCTCTGTCCTATCACTACGGTTCTTGACCAAGACTGCTTCTCTGTCTTCCCTGTAGGTCCCCTTCAGYTGCTGGGAGGTTGCTCCGAGGTCTTCGCACAAACTTCTCGTATCGAGTATGAAGCACTTGTTTGTACACAGAGTTGGTAATAYATTGCCTGAGGTTACCAAATGACGTGACGAAAATGGTGGAGATGTGTCGGAAACGCTTCTGGGATGTGCACTCGGAAAGGGGTGAGGGCAGAGAGCTCTCCCRTCTATAGGAATTGTCATGTGTCAGTGAGGTAGGAAGCATAAACGCTTTATGCAACATAATTAACAGAGTTTATCACGGTGTGTTTTAAAGCCTGTTTTACGTCATTGCCTCCAGGAAAAATAGATGCTGGTTCTGTGAGGTTTGTGCAGTGGTTGAGCTCCACTGGGTTCTGCTGGCTGCAGCTGGAGTTCATGCTGCTCTCTTCTTCTAAATCCAAATGTTTTTTCAGCATGGTATTCCATGCTGAGTGAAACTACAGGTTTTTCATGTTGTACACATTAAAAGAAGATAAAGGCTTGATTTTGAGCTTTAAGGCAGAWTATTAGAATAAACAAACAAAATATTAAAACAAACAAAACAAAAAACCTGGAGCAGTTTGAATATTTGACTTAGATATTTATTTAGTAGAAATGCCTGCAGTCAGTATTTTTTTCATTTAAGTTATAATTATTTGTAATTTAAAAACTCAGATTACTTTTTCTCGGTCATTAATATGCAGTCATTAGCTTGTACAAAACAGTTTCCCCCCAAAAAAATCAAAACAAATAAAAACTAAAATCCCCTAGGCAAGAGGGTGTGCAGAAGGGCGTGAAAATAATATTGGAGGGGAGGAGATTAGGAGTAGTGAGTAGGTGGAAATGGAAACAGAGATGTGGGCAGGGATTATGCAGTTTTCAGGGTGAGAACAAAGAACCTGAATTTGATGCAGTAAAAGGATGAGAAAATCAAGGATTAGTCTTGAAATGGGATTGACCTGGAATGTGTCTTTGGTGGCATTTTGAGTCCAGTGCTTCAGAGGTGGAAGTACAAGGAAGTGAGAGGAAGATGTGGATAATCAAATGCTAGCTGCTAGGGTGACAACAAAGGAAGTTGATTAATGATCCATCTAAGAAAAATATGTTAATTATGTTGTTTGCAGAAGTCAAAATAAGATGTGGACAGGAATAAACAGCAGCCAAATATGTACATTTCCTCTTTTTTACATATAGGACAATCTATATGTGTTRTCTTTCCAACAAAATCAAATTGACACAAAAGAGAAGATTAACCAGATAGTAACTATAAACTGTTTATAGACTTCCACCACAAGAGATGCTGATACTTTCAAAGCTCAAATGTCAGCATGATAGAGGTAAAGCAAAGCAGACAGAGGTAAATCTGTCTTTCACAATGTAACTCTCAAGACTGAGGTGACGTGAGGATGTAAGTGCAAAGAATCTGCACTAAACTCCCAGTAAAATGAAGTTTAAATATACTACCTTTTCCTTTTGGCTAAAAGGCCACTTTAGCAACCTTGGAACTGACAGTGCAGCTGTGGTAATGTTTGGTCTTGTTGTGTTCTCTGCATTGTAAAGTATTGTATATTTCTGTGTGAGAAATGCATTCAAAGGGRAAGACCTTATGAACTCCATACAAGTTACCAATGAATTCCCCAGCAGACCTTTTTGATTCTTTTAAAGAGCRCCAATGGATACTGAAGTTTGCTGTCCCCGAGTTACCTGGTTTGTATTCATCTCACATGACCTCATTTGTAGAGGAAATGCATTCCTGGCACAAGGGAATTGTTTACAATAGAACTGTTTTCTCAATGACTGTGGAACTAGGAATTGAATGCTAACATAAACATCATAACACCACTCCAAACTGCAGTTATACATAAAGCAATACTTAATTAATCTGACCTTCATAAATAACAGCACAAAGTATATAATTTTCAAGAGCAACCTGGCCAATGTCTGTATATACCCTGAGGATGGGGAGGGAGAAAGAATGGATAAAACATACTCATTACTTTGCTAATTAATCTGCAGAAGAAGCTTCAATAAAACAGTGATGTGTTTAGAGAAGGAAAGGGAATACAATGCAAGCAGATGAAAGCAAAGTATAAGAGCTGTTGCAGCTGTGGTTTTCTGCTTCCTCAGTTTTGTTAATTCAAATMTTTCAACAGACTTTTGCAGTGACAAATTTGTGGGCTAAGATATTCAGTATGAGCCAAAGTGTGGCAACTTCAGAACCAAAAGAATCGTTTGAATGTGGAAACAAATTTGTGAAATGGTAATACTATGGGACAAACAACTGATATTAGAAATGTCCTTTTAATCTTCTTAAAAGGTAAAGGCTCCCAAAAGATGTCAGGTACACGTAGAAGAAACATGTCTTGCTTCAAGAGGCCTTCAGGAAAAAGGATGAAATTTTGGAAGAGCAGGTAGCATGGTTGCATCCTCCAACCTCTGGAGCCACTTGTTCCTGACTATTCATCTGCTGAATTTTCGGGTTGTGTTTTCTACCYGTTGGGAAGGGGGAGGGAACACCAGGATCCCAGGCTACACTGTGGTAGAGCTGGAGACTCCTTTGTGTGATTTYCATCTGGCCTGTCCTACTGCATTTAAAAAAAAAAAGAAATAGCAGTGAGAATAACTTCCATGGCCAAGGAAGTTATTCTCACTGCTATTTTATCTTTCCAAAATAACTTGTTTTCTTTTCTAACCCTCCCCACCCCTCCCATTTTTTTTCTTGCAGCAAACGTAGATGTGGCATTTAACAGCCCTCTTAAGACATTAACATTAATGGCTACAAGAGATGAGAGCCATGTTAGTAAATCAGGGATTCCTGGGAATCTCAAGGTTTTAGAGTAATGGTAGCATAAATATGTAAGGTTCTGTCAACCAACTTTGTTGGTCACTTATCTCTTGAAGATGAATAATTAATAGGAGCACAAGAGCTTCTGTACTCCATCAGAAAAAGATCTATCTAACCTACTGTCTGTCCCTGACCATTGTCCACAGAGGATACTTGGAAAAGAGGAATGAAATGATGGCCAGTATGTGGTGGTGACAAACATGGGGTGACTGAAATGTGTATCACACCCAGTTGTCTGCTTGACTGCACTTTCCCATAAAAACCAGCCCTGCTGTAGCTGTATAACATCTTGTGTGCTGGTGGTCATGCTGGCAGAGATAAACGGATTGTCTTTGTCTTGCAGGGCCACACAGCTCCCAGAGCAGTACTCAGACCACACACACTGTCCAGGTACCCTCTCTGCTGGAGAAATGTCAGCCCAATCCTGTGGGTCTCCCTGGAAGGAAATTTCCASTGCTGCTGTACTCTCACAGGAGGTGCTTGCTTGCAGCAGGGATGGATCCCAGTGCTCTCACAGCTGCCAGTCCTTGTCACAATGAACATGGGCAAGCCTGATGGCCCAGGGGCTCTGCAGARTCACTCCCCAGGGTTGGGTGCACACAGGCAGGTGGTGCTTGTAGGCAGCTGGGGCTCAGGTGGAAGCGGGGCTGCCTGCTGGGAGCAGAGGAGGTGTTGGTGCCTGATCGTGTGCTACAAAAGCAGGTGACATGGACATATATAGCCCAGCCACCAGCCTGCTTCTCCAGGGCTGCTGCAGCTGCTTTGGGATGATTGCTCTGGAAACAAAAATACTCAAAGTACTGTTTGAATCAGAGTTTTGTCTTCACACTGTACTTCAAAAYTTATTTAACTTCTTAATGTGTTTGGCATAGTTGTTAAAAAGAAAAAAAAAGGAAAAACAGTATTCAAAATTAACTAGTAAATGATGAACCATTACATGTTACTTTATTTTCAATGCTGAAGAAGTAACTGTACTGATATTTTGCATGTTGAACACTAGATCTATTGAAATAAAATTAGTGAAAACCCAGTAGTAAAAGCAAATTTTTACTCTCTAATTTAAAAGGACATAAATTAAACTTGGGACCAAGATGATCTTGAACTTCATTTAAGTATCTGTGGTTTTTCTCATTTGGTACACCTACTTATACCAGACTTCACATGGGAACAATTTGCTGTTCACACTTGGACATGAGACTCCTTTAGCTTGCTAAATATTCCGAGGGATGTTGTGGGTTGTGGGTTGGAAGAGAAGGCTGAGCAGCCGACCTTCTCCTCAGGTGGCATGGAAAAGTACTGCTGAAAGCGAGCAGGCACGAGCACAGGAGGGAAGAGGCTATGGCTGCTCTCTGCATTGAAAAGCTCAGAGCTAAAACRTAAGTATCTACAAGGAGTGAATGCAGGCTTTTCACACAGTGACATTCACTTTGTCTCTTGACATAAGATCACCCACTTTCAATGGGTCTTATCACTTCAAAAATTATATTTAAGCAGATGATTACAATGGAAGTTCATAGTACAAGATAGCACAGCTTATATTACAGATAACAGCAGTTGTTTGACTAGATGAAGCTCCAGAAACACCAAGTGTGTGTTCATTTGATACTGTAACAATACCCCCTACGCCTCACTGTCCCTCCCACCTTATTGCACTTATTCCCTGGGAACCCTTTCTGAGCCACAATCATTCGCGCAGGAAGATGCACTTTTCAGAGTGGAAGTGATACACAGGGGAGTTTGAAAATGCAGTTCCACCAAAATCACCTTTCTTTCAGGTGTAGTATGATTTTCTCCACTACTTATTGTACCCTGAGCGCTGTGTAAGGGGATTCTTTTATTCGCAATGTAAAGCAATCATTTTTCTAATAAGCAGACAGGCTGCAGTCTTTATTGGAGAAAGCTTAGTGCTTGTATTTTGAAGGTCTTCATCATAAAATTGGTCTGTAGAGCCATTCTTAAAGTCAMCATTATTTCAAGATGTGACATGTCAGCCTTTCCTGAGTTGCTCTGGCTTACCACACCTTCTCCCTGCAGTCTTCCACTTGTCAGCACTGCCATATAGCCTTTCCTCCTTTTCCAGCAAAATCAGTTGCAACTCCTATCCTGCCTCACAGTCCTCCAGCTGGCTGCAGCTGCCCCTTTCCCCAGTGTCCTAAGGAAGAGCTGAACTGCTGAGTGGAGGGATCAAAAATATGCATTGATTGGGAATCTGTGCTCCAGGGGGATGGAAGAAAAGATATAGGGACTGTGCTTACTGGGACACTTACCTCCTGCTGGAAAATGAAAAGTCTCACAGGCCTGAACCCCACTGCCCCTTTGTTTAACAAGCTCAGATAAGAGTAATGTGAGGATTGCCATGGCTTCACCTTTCCTTGGCCCCTACTTGTCTAGAAAATTCACAGCTGCTGCAGTGATGGTCTGTAAACTTATGATACTGTGACAGAGAGAGCTTTAATACAGAATGTCATCCATGGAGAAATTAGCTCCTTGGTCACTATATTTTTTAGGTTTTCAGGTAGAAACTCTAGGTGGACAGCTGCAGGAAGGAGCCTTTTCTGGCTGTTTTCAACTGTGTCCCTTAGGAATTATAATTGAAGCTACTGCATTGCTTGCTCAATGTTTGTATCATGTTTTGCATTCTCTCAGAGACAGTCTTTACCTCTTACTCTCATCATTACCTTCCTGGATGTATATTTTCATGCAAGGTTTCAGATAGGGAATATTTTTGTAGTTAGACTTCCAATTAGCAATTTCTGGCCTATGTCTACTCAGCAACTGGTGACAAAGTTGCTGCCATTAAAAACCGCTAATGTGTTTTTCAAATCTGGGAATAATTTTGTGCTTTGCATTGTGCCTTTGGAAGCATCTCCAGGTCATCTTTACAGATTGACAGGCCCTAAACTTTAGGGAGTTTTCTCTGCCTCAAGACTAAACTACCAGTTAGACCATCCCAGTCAAGCCATGTCTATTATGCTCTCATTCATACAACTCAGCCTTGTTACAGAAAGGCCAAAGTAATGATCTGCAGTTTTGGTAGGCCTCTGGTTTTCTCAAAAACTTGCCTTTTGTAGGTGATCTCAGGTAGCTGCTGTGCTTGCAAACCACCACTTTGCTCCCTAAGCCTTCTTTGTGCCTCTCACTGACAACTCTTCTAGAGYTGCTTGCCCTATCCCACGTTGCTGTGTGGGACAGCATCGTTCTCTCCCACTGCTCTTTTCTTTATAGCTGCACTCTTAAAAACACTGGAAGAACTGAAATTACCTCCTCCAGGTTCATGCCAGGTTCTCTGTCAAAGYAATCCAGACAACTTTGTTTGCTCAATCTTTTAACATGAATTAAGCCTGTTTCCAGCTCCAGGTAACACACAGGATATTGACAAGCACTGGCAAGAGGCTGGTGTTTATTTCTTGAATGAAATTACACAACCTCTGCCCTTGCCATCAGTCCATGCTAATTTATTTTGGCACGCACTGCAGAGAAGCTGCTGCTACGCAATAGAAATGTATGTCTTGTACATAGCTCAGCTTTCTCTGTCTAGCCCAAGAAACAGGTACAAAACAGGCTGCTGAACACAAGCAATTCAACCATTCCTGCCCCTTGCACTGCTCCCCAGTACTTCAGAGTTGCTTGTGCTCCTGCAAGCCCATCTCCATCCTCTAACAACAGTACAGGCCATTGCCTTCCCGCTGTCAGCCTGGGAAAGGACAGTGTGTACAGATGTGCCTGTCGCTTTGAAGAGAAACACGGAAATCAGAGACACTCTGTCAGCTTCTGCTTTGTTGGATATAAACTTGCTTTGCTGTAAACACTGGAGAATTATCGGAACGTAAAGAGCTTTGAAACAGGATTTAAAAAGAAATCAGTGCCTTATCTGCTGTTTGAGAAAGAAAAAAAATGGTGTGAAGGACAGAGGGTAAGTCACACAAAAAAAGAAAGAAGCAGAAATTAGAAAGAACAGTGAAAAAACCAGAAAATTAGTCAAAAGCTACAGGAAAGAGACAGGCATAAATTGCCAATTACCATTCACATCAAAGGAAAATTCTCATCAAAACCTTTTTCTTCTTCTAAGAAGCATCATGCGTTTCCAGTATGTACTGCAGCGAAGCGAGCATGCATTACACAAAAGAAGGCCCAAGAGAATAAGCCAAATAGCCTCAAAGCTCGTGGAAACCATTTTACACAGCTGACAACTAGGACAAAACCCCATAGGAGCCCTGAGTGTCAGCACTGCTGCCCTTGTTCACCAGTCAACTTCCACCCTGTGCCAGCTCCACAGTATCTGAAGCACAGACCCTACATATGTGTCTGGACTCATTTACCCCACACAGAGCTTCACTATGAACACCATCACCATGTCCCACTGTCCCACAGAAACCCCATAAATGCTGTATTTTTGTTCCTGCAACATTTGGGACATTTGTTCCCCACTACACTGGGCCCATCTAAACCTGGAACGGGCAGACACCTCACAGCGCTCCAAGTGCTGGATCAAGGTAAGTTTGGAGTGCCTCCTGTTGCATGTTGGGGGGTGTGTTTTTGAAGWGTTTGTCACCAGCGTTCCCATGTATGGGGGTGCACATTTGCCCTCAGCGTGAATTTGGACCATGGCAGTGTCTTTATAGGGGCACCTCTACTCTGTCTTGAAGCTGGTGAAGGGACAGAGAAGACAAAGGTTGGACAGAARGGTTTAGGTTCTGTCAGCAGGTCCTGTGGCTCCTGTGGAAACTACTGCTATGCTGCASCTAAACCAGCTTTGCTGTCAGGCAGGCACAGCGCCCTGCTTGCTCCCACACTGACTGGGGACACGTGTATTGTGGGCACGAGTTTTTAGGACAGGTAAGAGTGACAAACAAAAAACATTTTTAAATTATAGTGACAGAGCAAGGCAGGACACAAACACACCGGTCCACATCAAAACAAGAGCAGATAAAAAGATTAAAACAGTAATAATTTCTTTGCTGCTCAGTTGTCTATGGAGCAACTAATAGCTGTGATTAATTAATTAAAACATCATTAGAACTTCAAGTGAGCTCATGCTCAGTCAGGCAACAGCAATTTCAACCAGCAATTTAAAATAGGACACTTGAAAACAGTAATCAGCTAWTTTTTCCAGATGTTCTAAAATCTCACATAAAGCAAAGGTCTTGATAGGTCAGAGCCTCCCAGCAAAGCCCAAGCTCCAGCCTTCCAGGAGAGGAGGCAGAAATGATCATTTGAATTCATATAGTTTTTYCTTAACTTTATATTGGGGAAACAATTCACCTGACTCTGCCAGAGCCTAAGTCACAGCTGCAAGTAACAGTCCCCATTTGCCAGTTTATTTCCTGCATGAGATGGTGATATTAATAGCAACTTTCCCAGTCCCTTGCCTAAGCTGACTCGCTACTGTTGAGACACGGACAGAGAAGCAGCAGAAGACAACTACTCCAGCTGAGATTTTTGTGACAAATTACCTGTGGATGGTCATCGGTCCAACAACAGAATGAGTCAGAGGAAATTACTGTTTATAGTTGACAGAATGCATGTGACACTGAGCATGTTTGAAAGCAAAGTCCCTGCCTTGAATAGTTTGGATTTAAATGAGCAGAGGAGGAGTGAGGGCAAGCAAAAGCAAGTCCTGCCAATTTATGTCACAGTGCCTGATAATAGGTCACCAAGCAGGAAAGAACACTGTCTGCATTATCAACATCAGGCCTTTGTCAGGTGTGACTTATTTCCTGGAGATGTCTCAAAACACAACCAAAGCCTATTTAGAAGAGAACTTAGCTCCTGCAATGATGTAGGTAGGACATTGTATTGTTTCCATGACTAATGGTWGAGAAGTTCAGATAAATGAGTCCAAACACGTAAAGTATTTCTGCAAAAGACCAGCAGATTGTACACATGGCAGGTACCATGCGTAGGTGTCATGGACAGATGGAAATCCAGCATTGTCCCAAAACTCGGAATTGACGTGACAAAGGACAGAAGCATCCTTGAGTGTTTATTTATCAAGTTGGAGCCTCTCAGCTATAAAGGCTGAAAAGGCAAGTAAACAGAAAATGGCACAAACCAGCAACCTCGTCTACAAGCTCCCRTCAGAAGG